AAGCCTACTGACAAAGCCTTCTTACTCCAGCTACAGGAGGCGCTGCGCTCGCAGGCTCTTGTCCTGCTAGGAGACTACAGCCACCCCAACATCTGCTGGAAAAGTAGCATGGGGAGTTGTTGGCAGTCCAGGAAACTCCTGGAATGCATTGAGGGTAAATTCTTAAGCCAGGTAATAGACAGCCCTACCAGAGGGGATGTGATACTGGACCTGTTGATCACCAACACAAGTGAGCTAATCAGTGACATCAAGGTTGGAGGCAGCCTGGGCTGCAGTGATCATGCACTGGTGGAGTTCGCAGTCCTGAGGGATATGGGTCAGGCGAATAATGAAGTCAGGACCTTCAATTTTAGGAAAGCAGAATTCCAGCTGTTCAAGGAGTTAGTCAATAGGACCCCCTGGGAAACTGCCCTCAGGGACAAGGGAGCAGAAGAGAGCTGGTAGATCTTTAAGGATGCTTTCCATAGAGCACAAGAGCTCTTGATCCCCAGGTGTAAGAAATCAGGAAAGGAAGGCAAGAGACCAGCATGGATGAGTCAAGACCTGCTGGTCAAACTAAAGGGCAAGAAGGAAATGCACAGGCAGTGGGAGCAGGGACAGGTATGCTGGTAAGAGTACGGGGATGCTGCCCAGTTGTGTAGGGATAGGGTCAGGAAGGCCAAGGTACAGCTGGAGCTGAACTTGGCAAGGGATGAAAAGAATAATAAGAAGGGCTTCTACAGGTATGTAAGCCAGAAAAGGAAGGTCAGAGAAAGCGTACCTGCTGTGATGAGCAAGACTGGCAAACTGGTAACAACAGACGAGGAGAAGGTTGAGGTACTCAACGACTTTCTTGCCTCAGTCTTCACTGGTAATCTCTCTTCCCACACCTCTCAAGTGGATAGACTACAAGATGGGGACTGGAGGAGCAAAGTCCCCCCACTGTAAGAGAAGATCAGGTTCATGACCTCCTGAGGAATAGGACCTGACGAGATGCATCCCAGAGTCCTGCGGGAATTGGCTGAGGTAGTTGCCAAGCCACTCTCCATCATATTTGAAAAATCATGGCAGTCAGTTGAAGTCCCCGGTGACTGGAAAAAGGGAAACATTGAACTCATTTTTAAAAAGGGTAGAAAAGAGGACCCTGGGAACTACTGACCTGTCAGCCTCACCTCTGTGCCTGGGAAGATCATGGAAGAGATGCTGCTAGAAGCTATGCTAAGGCACATTGAGGACAGGGAGGTGATTCAAGACAGCCAGCATGGCTTCAACAAGGGCAAGTCCTGCCTAACCAACCTAGTGGCTTTCTATGATGGAGTGACTACATCAGTGGACAAGGTACCAGTGGATGAAAAGCTGGAAATAAGCCAGCAATGTGTGCTCGCAGCCAGGCAGCCAAACATATCCTCGGCTGCATTCAAAAGAAGTGTGGCCAGCAGGTCGGAGGAGGTGATTCTCCCCCTCTACTCTGCTCTTATGAGACCCCACTTGGAGTACTGCGTTCAGCTCTGGAGCCCTCAGCACAGGAAAGACACGGACCTGTTGGAGCAGGTCCAGAAGAGGGCCACAAAATTGATCAGAAGGATGGAACACCTCTCCTATGAGGAATGGCTGAGAGTTGAGGTTCTTTAGCCTGGAGAAGGCTCAGGGAGACCTTACTGTGGCCTTTCAATACTTCAAGGGGGCCTATAAGAAAGATGGGGACAGACTCTTTAGCAGGGCCTGTTGTGATAGGACAAGGGGTAATGGTTTTAAGCTAAAAGAGGGCAGATTTAGATTAGATATAAGGAAGAAATTTTTCACAATGAGGGTGGTAAAACACTGGAACAGGTTGCCCAGAGAGGTGGTAGACGCCCCATTCCTGGAAACATTCAAGGTCAGGTTGGGCGGGGCTCTGAGCAACCTGATGTAGTTGAAGATGTCCCTGCTTATTGCAGGGGCATTGGACTACATGACCTTTAAAGGTCCCTTCCAACCCAAACTACTCTATGATTCTATGATAATTAGCAAGCCAAGAAAATCTACACAAAATACCCAAAGGAAAAAATGAGACAGCTAAAAATAAGGAATTTGTGAAACAAATACTGTTTGTGGTATGACAGAAGTGGTTATGTAACTATAAACAAAATTATTAACATGAGAGGCCTACATATAAAGGGAAGTTATGGTAACCTTTAAACATGTGGTGTCCACACACTTCTTCCTGTGCAATTTGAACACTGGCTGGGTAACAGAGCTTTTGTGTAACTGGTAATTCAGAGGCTGCATTCCAAATTACAGACTGGATTTGTTATAAATCCATTCTAATGAACTCGGTAAACTTGGAGCTATAGGCATCTTTGCTAAGAATGACTGCAAATAGCAGAGGAAAACTGATTTGCTCCAGGGTATCAACATTCACATTAGCACTGACTTCAGCAATCAGCTGATGCATATTAGAGAGGGGTTACCCAAGGCATTAGTCTGAATCGCTTTGTCCTTTAGGGAAAGCAAATCTGGCATCAAACTGTGGGTCCTGCCCATATCTTTTACATGTTCTGAAACCAGGAGGAAATACCAGTTTGCTTCATAGTTATAACAAACAGACAAAATATGGAAGAATTGCGATTAACTAGAGGAAATTCAGGGGACGGCTCAGAACTGTATTGCTCCCATTATCATGCTGTGACCACAAAGTGTTCTGCTCAGTACACAGCAACGTCAGAAATCATTGCAGTGTAATCCTTTATGCAGTGATGATGCAGTGATGTGGCATCATCTGATATACTGACCGGAAGAAAAGCATTACTAAACATCCAATTTACGTGGATAAATTCTTATATACATCTAATACCATGGCAATTTGGGTCCCTGTGGCAAAGTTACAGACCCAGGTAGAAAGTTAACCAGTTCAGAAAAGTGATAAATAGCAAGATCTTGAATAAGTCACAGAGATGTGGAGATCATTTCTTGCCGCAATTTCACTGAAGTAAATGAGTATAAAACTCAGTGACCCTGAAAACAATGTCTTTCATGCCTGTTAAGTGGGAAAATTGTGTTATTAAGAAAGCAGAAGAAAGCAAGAGAAACCTGGAGAAGGAGAAAACCCCAGGACAAAAAAAAAAAAAAAAGGAAAAAGAAAAAAAACCAAAACAACCTGTTAGGGGAAATGTTAGTTACAAAAGTAGATTGAAAGATCTGCTTTTGGAATCTCCAATCTCAAAACCTTGTGTTTCTTTTGCAGTACAAGGAGGGTTAACACTTGAAAAACTGACACTGAAACAGTACTGTTATCCAATCAACATGGACAAGTGTTGGTGGTTTAATTTCTGAAATGTTTAAAATCTGCTTTATGAAAATTCATGTTTTCAATGTTTTGCCATTCTCACCATCTTCAGCAGAAGATTTTGAAGTGTTTTGCCAGCATTAACAATAAATGTGGAGAAGGAAATTATTATTTTTGTTTTTCAGTGCAAAACTGGCAGAGAGCAGCTAAAATCACTTGGCAAACAAGTTAGGAACAACAGACAAAAGCATATGTTAAACATCTCCTAGCTTACTGTCCAACTCAGTGCCAAAGCCAGTAAAGCATTTTTGACAATGGAAATCACAGTAATTGATTCAGTCACATGGATCTTACTTCCTTTAGGTAATTCATGATCACAAATGCCATTACCACATTGCTTCAATGTGGCTATAAAGATAAGATGAATAAAACCAGAGGAAATATTGCTGTGACACTCACTTCTGTTTTAGAAGCTGTTTGTTGTCCTCAATGGTTATACTGTCAGCATGGTCCTGCTTGAAAACTTCAAAAGCTTCCTGACATCCAAGTGACATCTTTCCTCCTGCCCCAAGAAAAAAAAAAAAAAGGAAACTACTTCAGAGTCATCAAAAGACAGAGATTTTGATTTATTTAACTCCTATTTAGACAAATATAGCAAGCCAGCCCAGGGGTCTTAACGCCCCCAGAAGACTAAGTAAGTTCAGTGTTCCACCAACGGGAAAGCATTTCTGACAAAAGATTTCTCTTATCTGACAAATTAATTTTGTTTCACTTCACTTCTTTAAAGTCTGAATGTTTGAGCTGTATAATTTCTCAAGAAAACTTAAAATGTTCATAAGTAAAACTAAATTTTGAAAATTTAAAAATATGTGAAATATTCTTAAGTGTGAGCCAGAGGTATTTTCACAACAAATTTGCTTCTGTATTTCTTTCATCCCTGTTTCATATTGGCCCCTAAAAATACCTTGAATATTTTCAGTACTCTTGGAAGAAAAAAATTCAGCCTTCTTTTAATTATGTATTAGTGAATGTTTTTCATCCCCTTTTAAGTGAAGCAGGTATTCTACCTACATAAATGGTTGGTTCCTGCCTTTTACATTTTCAATATGGTGTTTGTTTCCTTTTGTGCGCCAGAAGGTCAAGACCATTTGGCCTTCAAATCTTTTTAAAAATCACTATGGAAAAGTATTACAGGCTGTATTATTTATCAGTTCTCATTGCTAGATGATCTACAGATCCAAGTAAGAAATCATGCATCTGTATTATCATTAACAAAAAAATTCAAAGGCTTAAGGAGAAAGATTACACCAGCATCTGTGTTATCACAAGTACATATATGTCAATAATAAGTAAGGAGAATGGATGAGACTTGCAGTTAAATAAATTACATTAATGAAGATAGTTCAGGAGCAGAAAGGGGGAAGAATCTCACACTCAAACTTTGTGAAAAGTGCAAAATAGCTCCACCTCTTAAATCAACCTCATGGTTGCAACTTAAACCTCAGAATGATGTTCCTTAAATTGGAATTTGATTCTCCTTATTTTTTTTTCCTCTAGTGTCTTTCTTCTGTCCTACTCACAAGCCTGCCTTCCTGCTTCAGAGCTATCGAGACCCCCAAATCTATTGTGCACGAGAGCTATAAAGTTTCCTGGGAGTTCTGCTGCGCAAGAGTTTTCTATAGGTTTTATGCCAATGGACCAGCACTACCAATAACATATGTATGCATGTATGCCAGTTATTTTCTGGGCTACCTGCTTTGCAATTTTGGTGTAAGTGGGGACGATACATTAACAAAACATACCTAAACAGATTGGGATATGCAATACTGGGATGCTACACCTTATTGGGGTCTAGCTCCATAAGCTGCATTTTATAGTCACTCCAAATATGTTCTGCTGCCGCTCATCATAATATCAGGATTACTCTCCACTGACTTTAGTGAGATTTCCGTGGTGTAAGATACTGTTTACAGTGAAGGCTGGTAACAAAAACTAGCACTCAGGGTTCAATAATCAGTAAAAGTTTAAAAAATTTTATTCAAAAATACAGTAGAAAAATTTGCCCTCTGTTTCAGTCAAAAGAATCAGCACATCTGTTACTAATTTAAAAATTTTGAGTTGAAAATAGAACCACCAGGAATGTTTGAATGGCAAAGTACGCAGAAATGTTCCACCCTTTTTGAAAAAGAAAATCAAAGAAAGATACAGTGCAGTCTTTACTGCTGTGTGATCCAAAAGAGCAAGAGGATTTAGGAAAATACATTTTTCTGTGATGATGACCTGAGAATATAACGTTCATGTTTCATGCCTGCCTTGAAGAAAAACAGGCAGCTTTGCAAGCAGAATTTTATAGCACATTCATCCCATCACCAGCACTGATTTTAATATGCATCCTGAATTGACCCTCTAGAATTGCTTTTGTTGCAGAAAAAGTTTGTATTAAGTGCAGGAAGCCTGGATGAAATTCATGGCTAAGTCTAAAATAAAAAATGAAACACCCGTACTCATACGTAACACTGCAATGTAAAGTATTTAACCCTTCCGGCAATGTGCTGCCTTTGAGAGTAGAAGTAAAAACAGTAGAAGTAAGTTTGGAAAACAAAACTATTACAGTGATTATTGTTTCTGCCTGGCAGAAATGCATCAACCAAAATGAAAGGTAATCTGATAATCATTCTCCAGTGCTACATTAAGAGGCAGCAGATTTGTACAGCCAAACAAAGCACACAAAAATAGATCTCCAGAGCTCTTGGGAAGGGGAAATTTTCTGGTTTATACAGTCCATTCTAAGAAAATACAGAAATATATGAAGTAGCAAACAATCACATTCTGAAAATGGTATCTAAGGAAAGGACCTTAAAAAGGACCATTAAGATTGTACCTCAGCATAATATGAGCATAAAACACCTACAGAAGAATGTTCCAGTCTGTGGGTAATGACAGAGACATTAGGATTATAATAAGGGAATACAGCAATGTTAATACTAGTAAAAGACTGCAAGAAACATTGGAAGCTTGATGGAGTGGTTGTGTTTTCATTCTGCTCAGTAGTGAAAATTATGCCTTCTCCATGGTCGATGTTGTATCTTCAAATACGTTGCTTATATTTTCTTAAATAATGTACAATGTCATAAAGTAGCTTCACCTTCTTTCAAATGCCCTTCAAGTGCAAAGGTGCACTAATATTATTGGCATGCTGTTTCTCCTGGGCCTAATTCAAACAAATAAGCTATATGTTCTTTTAAAACAAAGTGCTGTTGAATTTCTGGTTTTCTTTAGCTGTAAATTGAAACCTATGTATAGCAATATATGCATGCTATGGATAAAAGCAGAATTGAAAGAAGAAACCATTGATGATGACACATTTTTGGCAAGGTAGTCAAACAGTTCAGCTAAAACTGTTAAACTTGTAGAAAACAATTTCTTTTACTCTTACAGGTCAAACATTTTCTCTTTTCCTTCTTTAATACTGTGGCATAGTGTTACAAAATAAATACTTGAAAATTCTTATCTAAGGAAGAATCATCATATCCTACAGGATGAGAACCAGGAAACATATGTCATCAAGTCATTACAATGTGAACTGGAATAATCTTTACCATAAAAATAATTCAGAACATTGGAAAAAGCATAAAATTTTCTTGCAATCATATCCATGAAACCCCAGTTGACAGGGTTGCATTAAAAAGTGATACATTTTGTATCAACTTAATTTTAATTATACCTTTCCTGTTAGATTGTGTAAATTGGCTTTAATATTAAAACACTCACAAATATGCCCAATGCCCAATGTGAAATTTACAGCAAACCCATCATTATTTACAGCAAATTCAAACATCTGAAGTTTTGGGAAAATTCAGGTTTGATACACATCCTGATTTTGAATGTTTAAGAATGTTCTCATTGAAGGTTTGATTTCAGTCTGTACTCCTATCCGGTACACTCCACCAACCTTCACATGAAGCAAAAAGTTTTGGTTCAATAGGGTCCTCATGTAAAATGTGCAAATTGCAGCTGTCCCACTGAACTTGGGTAAGTCAGAAAGCAGAATGACAATGATGCCTCTGAACTAGAGCAACAAGATCTGAAATGACCAAGAAATAAGAAGCTTGCTGTAGTATTGATAAAGGGCTAAACTTCTGAAATCAGTAATAGTTCAAAATACATTGAGCAAAAATGTAATAAGGCTTTTGGACGTGGCTGATTACTTTTTGAGGTGACATGAAAAGATCAAACCAATTTCAAGACTCAGTTGTATGCTTACAGCAGGTAGAAGCCTGCATATCAGCAAAGTCACTGGCAGATATTATGCACCCTATTCTATCACTAACTAATTTAGAGATCATTTATTCTACGCTGTTACATATACAAATGCTATTTACAGCCATCCTAAACAACAACTGTGAGTACCTCATAAACTTTAATTAGGAAAATAAGTTAAAAGAACATGTAGGGTGTAGTGTGGCACTGGATGCTCAACTGCCAGCAGAGAAATTATAGGGCTGAATGCTATTTTTAAGTTAAATAGTATCCACAGGGATTACTCAAGGACTATATCAAAGAAGGTAAGAGCATGCAAGTGTATAAACTTAAACCTTATTTTGTTGCCACAGGAGATCAAACATGGTTGTACATATTTAAATAACCATACTGATTTTTAAATTTATCCAATACCTACAAATCCTATTGCAGCTTGCTTTAGTGATCCCAGTCTATAAATACTGGACAATTTTTAAGGACTTTATTTTAGTGTTTTTTCATAAAGATTTCAGGAGTGCTCAAACTGGAAATGGCACTTCCAGAGCGCTGAGACTGGCCACCTTCTTTTTTTCTGGTTCGTTTGTTGAAAAAAGGTTTATTGCTTAGAGGGAAAAGACCTTCATAAAGTTTAATGCATGAAACCCAGTTAAGTCTGGAAAAATCTGTCAAACAATAGCATGAAATCGATATCTTGTCAGGAAGCAGAATCACAGTGTCTCCTCACAACCCCACCTTGTAACCAGATTTTGGTCTTGGTATGAGAGCTCCAAGGGGGTTCCAGCAGCCCTCATACCAGAGGCTGCCAGTTTAACCTCCAAAAAGTATTGGAAATAACTCTCCAGGAGAGACAAATTAAGGTTGCAAGTTGAGCTGTTCTGAGGGAGGAACGTTAAGACTGTTAACAAAGGCAAACTCTTGGGAATAGCTGTTCAGACCATATATTCTGATGAGAAAGGCATCTGTCCACATGTCTGCCCACATATCAGTTTTGCAGAAACTACATTTGCACAGTAGAAGACTTTGTCTTTCCATTCCTACTAAGTGCTCTATTGGACAAGAATTGTCAACTCTTCCACTGAAATTAAAAGAAGCAAAAAAATCCCCTTTGCTCAAAGAAAGTTCTCATTCAAGTGAGGGTTGTCTGAAGAATTTCAGGATGGCAGCTAATGTGAATTGTGAGTCTTCATGCTTACAAAGACTGTCAATCTGTTCATGCTATTATGTATTTCCACTTATTATCAAATACAAACAAAGGAACTGTGGACACTTCCAAATGAAACTAAAGACAAATTATTTAGTAAG